TAAGTAAAGTTTTTTAGTATTGTTGTATTACTGCCATACATTGTACCATGTACCAGTGTTGAGCAATAAAGTTCATTCATATCAACATAAAAACCTTAATATGCTTCAACATCAGCTGATAGCGGTGTACAGAAAGTGCAAAATGGAACGAAATGGACGAAATGGAACGAAATGGAACAAAATGGAACTAAATATGTATGAAGTACGTTGGAACGGCGACGTTAGTGCGTTTTTGCTATTTCATTTCATTGTGCACATGTAAGGGACGCGGCTGGTGATAAAATTCCTCCCCATGGCCCCATTCCGCTAGGGCAGACAGAGACCACAAAGAAGCACACTTTGACTGCTCACCTCAAAACTCAATTAATTGTTTTTATAACGTACCTTATAACGTTGTGGTCAATTCTTAACGTACCCTGATCCATCTTATAACGTTGCGGGCACTTTATTCTTAACGTACCCTGATCGATCTTATAACGTTGCGGTCACTTTATTATAAACGTACCCTGATCGATCTTATAACGTTGCAGTTCTAAGAATACCATCTATCTTAACGTTGCCATTTGGACGTCGAGCGGACACTAGCATCGCCGTTCCCACGGCTTTCCTTCATACATATTTCGTTTCTTTTCGTTCCATTTCGTTCCATTTCGCACTTTCTGGGGTCCCGCTGATAGAGAGGTAAAATCACAGATCTGATGTTACCTTGGAAGAATAATCCTCCGTCCAGAATGTCTCCTCCTTTTGGTGGCTGCTGAGCAAACCCTGGTCCCTTGGGACACAGTTCATTGAACTTATCTACAGAAAAGAAGAAAACAACATCAGTCTACTACAGTCTCTTTTCCTGATGTTAAGGCCACAACAATTTAATTTGTTGGTTCTCGGATTTTTTCAGAAAAAATATGATGCGACAGGGCGAAAAAAAATAAAAATAAAAACAGGTCAAGGCATCCCATTATAGGCTTAAATGCTACGGAATGAGCCATGAAGTCAACACAAAAGGCTGGGTTAAACATTGAATTTTGAACTTTTAATCAAACCACTGCAATGATAGATGGGAAAACTGTAACAGCTAGGAAGAAAAGGACTTTCCACAACTGTTGGGAGCAAAATATGAGCATTTTTGAGTTGATTCAGAACCAGAATCTTTTTTTTTTTTTGCAAATCAGAAAAAAATGAAGAGGCGAATCCGAGAACCAACAAATTAAATTGGTGTGGCCTAAGTTGATTTGATTTGATTTGATTACCTGTTCCTTGTCGGGGACAAGAGATACACTCGTCGCTCCAGCCTGAGCCGATGGAGCAGCAGCAGATGGAGGTGCGTACAGGGATGGGGAGCTCCCGCTGACACTGGCCATAACGGTACTCCAGGTAACAGAACTCCTGACGGGCATCTGTTAGCAAAAACAAGCAATTGTTTATTGTTTATTGAAAACCAAAACCCATCGTAGCCTCACGGCTGAATTGTGAGGTATGTACACAAGTCGCGAGCACGTTGCACATTTCAAAATATTCAGAAATACCTTAAATGGAAATTACTACTTACAACATTTTAAGATCTTGCAACATTCTAAAATACTAAAATACACAATATATTGAACATGTCAAACATTTATCTATTCATAATCTTTAAAATAGAATTAAACTATAGAATTTTGTAGCTGCGACATTTAAGCGAGTTAAAAACAATACTGAAAGAGCGGCCTAAGAAACACATTCATTCGGATACTATACTTGAAAGGGACACGAAATAATAGCTCATTATCCCACATATTCTAAGATTCAAGTTCATCATATTAACTGACACTGTCATTACAGTATACTAGAGAGGATTCATTCCTCAAGCTAACTGACATCTATCAAATCGCATTCGTACCTCAGTAGTCGCATAGTTCCCGGTTAGAAATTTTATTCAGTGTCACACAGCATGTGCTAGATCCCAGTTAGCTTTAGGAATGAATCTACTCTTAGTATATACTGACATAGTGTCATTACAGGTTATGTTTAAACCATAACAGTTTACATGCATACAGGGCTCGAAATTCATTTTTGGGAATAGGTGCACAAAAAATATTTTGGGTACACCATATAAAATGAAATAAGTATAATTATGTCAGAAAAAACTAAAATATGATTCATTTCTAAAGGAATTTGCACTACAACAATAATTTTGTTACAATGTATTTTTCTGACACTTGGATGCTACAGTAAGAATATGCTGTATACTAATACATTTAACATGTTTTTATTCAACCTAAGAAGACATTTGGGTGCACTGATGCACCCACAGAAAAATTTTTAGTGCACAGCTCCAAATTTGGGTGCACTAATATAAGGTGCACATGCACCCAGTATCTAGAGCCCTGTGTACTATATGTAATGGGTCTTATTACAAAATGTATTATTAGTAGCAAGCAAGTGCAATAAAAAATGGTTCTTAGTCACTGTGGCAAATGTGTAATCTGCCTGTGTCCTACATGTAATCAGTGTTTAGACTCAGTATCAATGATCAGCCAAAATCCCAGGTGGGCATCACTCCACCATATAGGGAGGGAAGTTGTGTAAAGTGCCTTTCCCAAGGACACAACATTGGGCATGTAACTTAAGGGGATCGAACCCGGGACCTCTTGGTTCCGAGCCATGCCACGCAATGCCACAGTGCAATAAACATTACATGAAATAGACTTCTTGCTTGTAAAAGTTCACAAAAGCTAAATGTGAATGGCATGAGATAGTGTACAACCAGATGGAAGTTCACAGCTATGATAAAGCCTGAGCACCTGACCTAGTGCCCCCCCCCAACGGTCCGCAGCTACAGGTAGATGTTTGCGGAACGACAGTGCCTTCACTGTGCCAAAAGCCAGGACTAAGCGACTGAAAAGGTCATTTGTTCACTGTGCGATAAAACTGTACAACGAGTCTGTTTCATAAGCTGTATCTGCCGCCAATTTTATCTTTAAGCTGTATTTCACTAATGTATATTGTTCATTGATTGTATTGTATTATGTGTTGATTGTAACAAACTACCCACTTCAGGGAGACTTGTGTCTTTCCCTGCATATTATGTATGTTTGTGGTTGGAAAACCAATAAAGACGTTGTAAGTAGTCTAAGGACCTACCAACACATCTCCTTCCCGTATTGTCCAGTGTCAGGCCTGGTGAACACTCGCAATGGTAGGAACCCTGAGTGTTGACACACCGGGCATTGTCACAGACTCCGGGGAAGACTTCACACTCATTCACATCTACAGAAAACAAAATACAAAACAGAAAGGTTTTGGGACATTACAGTCTGTATCATAATCATCATCTATATGAAGTAAGGTTAGGCTTAGGGTTAGTATAACTGAAAATCCTTAAAATGTTGTAAAGCACAGTTGTAAAGTAAAGAACCAATTTCGGACTGAAGTCCTGTTGAATCCTGACTAAGGATTATAAATCTTGAATTCTCTAAAGCCTTGGTCACCACCCGCCGTACATGCTTCTGCGTGCTCAGCCGTGCTGTCTACGTGCAAAAACGTGGGCAAACGTAGGGCATCCGTGCGTGGTGAGTACCGCCTCCGTACGGAACACTACGAATTTGGGAGCACGCAGACACGCCGTAGAACTTTAAGAGCATGTAAAACTTTTCATGCGTGCGGTCTGCGGATTCACCACCCATGCGTGCGACGCGTGTGCCCTCTACAGCCTATGAGCGTACAATGCACGTTTTCAGAAAAACGTAGCAGACGTGGCCTCCCAAAAAATGTACGGACAAAAAGCACGCACGGCGGGTTGTGACCAAGTTATGACACTCTGCTATGCAGTTAATCACTTACAAAACTAAAAATAAAATCTAAAAATGTTACTAGAATACAAATACTGCTCCTATCTTCAAGTTGGTACATTAATTGGACTAGAAAAGTTTGTTTGAAGTGTACAGTACTAGACTAAGTGTAATTATATTGTACCTACCTTCGCAAGACACCCCATTCTGAAAACTGTATCCAAGTGCACACTTCCGTTCTGTCACATGAAAGAAACATTAAGTACATGATTGTATGTTTGAAAATCACCAAGTCCACGAGTGTAATCAAAGTAGGCAGTTTTACTCTCAAACATTATAGGCCCTCACCATAAACAAAGAGAACAACAGCACACAAGCTTTTAAGGGGAAAAGTTTAAATTGTCCACAGTTGTTGCATGACCTTGCATGACTAGTACTGTCCAGACATGCATAAAATCATTAACTTAAAGGCCATGTTGATTTGACTTTATGGATAAAATCCGCACGTGCATTGATTTTAATTTGTCAGTTCTCCCCCCCCCCCAAAAAAAAATTTCGACCATATTGTAAATCGTACAAAGCAGCAAATCTATGCCGTAAATTGCAAAAAAATATAGGAAAATGATATTCGTAGAATGCCAAAATCAATTCTAAAGGAAAAGAAAAAATGTGAAGAAATAAAAGTGAAGAATCTATTATTTGCCATACAACACTCACTGTGTGTGTGTTCACTCACTGTCATTTGTTCAACCTTCATGACTTTTTTGCCAAACGTTTTTTATTCGCAGGCTCGCATCAGTTTGGGGGTTCCCAGAGGATGTCATACATATTAATCAAATTGACATAGTCTAATCTTATGAAATACTAAGTATCCACCACTGACGATTACATGTACAATGTAGTCTCCACCAGACTCCTTTGCAGGGTGAATAAATACTGTAGTAGAAATAGGCCTTAAAAGGAATGTAGCTGGCCAAAGGGAGTTGGCCAGCCAGAGGCAGGCAAATTGGACCCTCTATCATTATCATCATCAAGCCTCCGGATTTATACTAATCCGGTGAGGCACACTTGATAAAGTTACTCCAGTATGTCCTGTCTCTCATAGCGGACACTAATGCAGATCCTGCGAGACCAGTGTCTCTCTCTAGCATGGACAACAGTGTAGTATAAGGACGTCCCACTCTACGTCTCCCAGTAGGGAGCCACTGTACTAATCTATCAGCTGGTTCGTTACTACAAACAACATCCCCTGCCAGGGCAAGTCTACGTCGTCGGACTACAGATGAAATGGGCGGGAGAGAGCCATAGAGTTGTTTGTTTGTTAGATGTTGTCTCCATGATACATTATACACTGTTCTTAACATTCTTGTATATGTACCATCTAGTTTCTTGCTCTGGGCAGCATTCATAGCCCAGGACTCAGAGCTGTAGAGTAGAATAGTCTCTGTACATGCTTTAAACACTTTAGTTTTTGTCTGCCAGTTTCTTGATTGGAGCTTTCCATACCTTCTGTAGGGAGTGGAGGGAGCTCCAAGCAAGAGCAATCCTATACTCTATGTCTCTCTCTGAATTGGTATAGCCCCAAGATACTTGAAGTATGACACTGGCTCGATTTCAGAGCCATCAGATGCAGTTAGTTGCTGGAACAGTGTTGGGTTCAAATGCATATACTTTGTTTTGGATGGATTGAGATATAGGCCTATGGCCTGGCATGCCGCCTCTACTTTGTTTAACAAATTTTGAGCAAACCCTCTATGGCCAGCCCCTAATCACCTAAATTCCTTTTTAGGCCAATTTCTACTACTTATTCACCCTGCAAAGGAGTCTGGTGGAGACTAACTGATGACACTCACTTGACGGGTCCTTCTCACATGGTTCACAGGGGCTGCCCCATGCCGCCCCCAGTGAGGCACAGCAGTCTTCCTTCAGGGTTTCTCCATTGATGTTCTCTTCACAGTGCCCGCTGCGGATAGCCAACCAACAGGTGCCACGCCGTTCATCTGGGACAGAACAAGTCAAAGAGTTCACTCAACTTTGATCTTCCACGAGCGTCTTCATTGTAGGAACGGTTTCATAGAGAAAGCAATTATTTCTTGTCTTTGGATGTCAATTACTGTAAATCACTTTAGGTTCTCAGTGGCAAAAGTTTGTGGTCTGAAAGAAATGGGCATGTTTGTGGAACTACGTGACATTGTATACATTTGCAGTGGCAGCATGTGCAGCAAAAAGAAAGTTGGCGAATTATTTGTTCAGAATAATGATAAAGTTTGTGGTAACCAGGAAAACATATTATATGTATATATTATTATAGTACCATGAAAAAATCGTTATTTACAGTATTTGATAATGTTACAGCACAAACTCAAACTTACATAAAATGAAGCCAAGGCAACCAGGTTAGTTGCTGACATTGCAAATAGTAACCCATAGGCTCCCAAGTACTCACGATCTAAGTGCACTTCTTCACTAAGCTGCCAGATGGCAGCTCTACAAGACTACAAATTAAAGTAAGACATTTACAATGTACAGTACATGTAACTCACCTATGCATGTTCTTCCAGTTGGGTCCAGAGTCTGGTATGGAGAGTATGGTTCGCACTCACATTTGAAGCTGCCAACCAAGTTCTGACATCTTGCATTCACGCAGGGTGAAGTAATACACTCATCAATATCTGCGTAGAGAACGTAACAATTTCAAAGATTGTTCGGTACGAAAAGTGGCACTGTGTCACAGCTTTTCCATGTTTTTACTAATTGTGAAGGAGGTGCAGTTTGAAATATGAATACCAGTATATTTATTATAATAAAAAATAAAACAGCATGTCAATATGCAATAACCTGTACTAGTTGAAGATGCAAGAACTGGCATGGTACAAGAAGGTACAGTGTAGCAAATGATTAAATTATAAAGTCAATGTTTTATGGTAATACATTTGTACACACCTAACAAAATCAAGACTTGAAATACTGGGTGCATACATGTGTATGCACATGCACCTTAGTGCAGGTAAAATTGGGGCTGTGCAGGTATTTCTGATGTTAACCTGCACCTAGCGGTAATTAAGATGCAACAGTCCGTGTACTGGGTTTATATATTATTAACATCATGATTGTACATGTAGGTGTAGGTCGAATTTCATTTGCTGCATTCACTGTTACTATGAAGTATAAAAAGATAGTGGCAAATAAATGCTTTCTCAACAGTTCTTAGTTTGACCCATACAGATTCAAAGTAGTAGTAAACACATTCCCAACTAAAAGGAGAAATTCTCCATACACTATGTGCAAAATGCACACACCTATGTGCAAAGTGCACATACCTATGTGCAAAATGCACATACCTATGTGCAAAGTGCACACACCTATGTGCAAAGTGCACACAGGTATGTGCAAAGTGCACACACTATGTGCAAAGTGCACACACCTATGTGCAAAGTGCACACACCTATGTGCAAAGTGCACACACTATGTGCAAAGTGCACACAGCTATGTGCAAAGTGTACATAGGTGCATATACTATGTGCAAACTACATATACTACAAACAGACATCACTTTAATTCCGGACTGACTCTAATTCCGGACGACCTTTCACCATTAAGACATTTATTATATTACTCGCTGAAAGTTGCGTAGGTATCATTGATACACTGTAGGTCCCCTGGGACTAGGTCAGCATTCGGATTCAGAATTCTGCGCAGAATTCTGCATTCAGGTACAGAATTCTGCAACCCAAATGCAGAATTCTCCATCCAAATGCAAAATATGAAGGAATTTGCGATGCCTTATTTATTTTATGATGTTAGAGAGTGGACTCACACTCGTCCTACATCCTACATTGTATGTGTTTGCTATCTCTGTGCTGCAAAAGCATACAAGACGGGACATTCTGCCAAGTACCTTCCAAAGCACAAAAGAGTTTACAGATGGCACACACAATTCAGGCACAAGTACTTTCAGGTTATTCAGGTCACAATATTTCATGCTGATGGTCATTGTCAGACTGAAGCTTGAGTTCTTGTACACGTGGCGTGATGTTGTGCTCGGTGCTCAGTGATGGCGGCCAGAGATGACTGGGTACATGGCAGAAGTAGTTTGCCGGCAAGCTGGCTTTGTTGTTGCAGCATGTCGACGATCGGGGTCGGTTTGCAGCAGGTGGGCGAGGCAGGCGGTTGTAGGCGTGGTAGCGCAGCTTGAGCAGCGATCAGGCAGGTGGATTCATTGCCGGGCGATTCAGGAGGCATGATAAACCAATGCGGGTTGCGAGAGGTCCGGCTGCTCCCCACCAAATGTAGGGTTTCAAGAGAAGAGGCGATGGGAGGGACATTGTACTCTGTGGTGGCTATGGACACTGTTTTCCGTTAAAATGCATCGCTTCAAAACTGATTTTCTCTGATCCGAATCAAAAGTAATCCACCTAGAGGAGGTAGTTCAAGACATTTGTGGCGGATCCGGATCAGACATAAAATTTTCCCTGTATGTAAATCTGCCTGCTTTGACATACATCAAGTACGCTACCTCGAGTACCATGTGATGTACAAGATGTGTAGAGGCGC